CTCCCATTCCTTCCCTCAGGTTCCTGGGCTGAGCAAACAGCCAAAAAAGGGGGCATTTGGGGGGGGGGGGGGGGGGGGCCCCCCCCCCCGGGGGGGGGGGAAGGGGAAAACACCGGCCTCCCCTCTTCGGAGGGGTGGGGGGCGGCGCCCTATATGGCTTGCCTCCTGGGCCGTGATTGGCCTCCCCTTTCCCGCCCATTCCTGCCGGCCCAATCGCCTGGCTCACAGAGGGTGCCTCTGGGGAAGGCAGGCCCTGAGGGGGAAGGCCCGGCCAGGCCTCGCTCAGGCCCCCCCCCGGGGGTGTGTGGGTGGGGGGTGGTCCCCAGAGCCCCGGTCTCTCCACCCCCCTCAGCCCCAGGCAGGCAGCCCTTGTGGGTGGGGGTCGTTCCCTCAGCAGCGACAGCCACAAACCCCCCCCACACACACACACACACTCGGTGAACAAAGGGAAATTATTCAGCATGCCCCCCCCCTCGTCGATCCCCCTTTCTCTGAGTGATCTCTTCGCAAGCCAGCCACGGTGGTGGTGGTGGGGGGTTTCCAGTGGTAATGCCGACACAGCTGCCTGCCGCCTCCACCCTCCTGAGGGGCAGACAGGGAAGGGGCCAAAAGGCACCCGCCGCATACGATGGAAAAGGGACGGGAGGGAGGCTTCAGAGGCTGAACCACAGAGGCTGAAGCCTGCAAGGCCGCCTGCCCTTAGCTTCCGGCTGCACTGCAACCCCCCCCCCTGCCCGACCCAGCGCCTGGGGCTCCTCCGGGGGTGGCTCCCGTCTCCCTGTTCGGCTCCAACCCCACAGCTTAGTGGCCAGACGTTGGTCCCATGTCTGCTCCTCACTCTCCTCCTGCCGCAGGGAAGCCAGAAGACTGGACAGGCACGCGGGAGGGGCGTGGGGGTGAGTGGGTGGATGAATACGGAAGGAGAGTGCGAGGCAGCGAGAGGGTTTCTGCCTCCCCGGCTCCCGGTGACTTGGCTCAAGCGATCAGGGGCCCCCTGCCCAAGAGGAGCAGATGACGGTCCCGGAGAGCGAGGCCCGAGGAGAAGAAGAAGAAGAAAGCTGTGGCAGAACACGGCCACTGGTGGCAGGCCTCTGATGGGCAGCTGCTTCTCATCACCTACCACCCAATTCTGCCCACGGGAGACGCCACAGATCGCAGGGCAGATGCTCCACCTCCCTAAATGAAGCTGCCATGTGTCTCAAGCTCAGGGCTGCCTCCTCTGACTGGCGGCGATCTCAGGGGGAGACCCCAAAGGAGACACTCCTCCCCAAAGACGGGGGGAGGGGGGCAGGGGGGCAGGGCGAGCCACACAACCGCCAGAAGACACGGAGGGCTCGGCCTCCCGCTCTCACCGCCAGCAGGGCCTGCTGCTTCGCCCGGGCCTTCTGGACAACGCAGTCTGACCGCAGGTCCTTCTCCAGCTGCTCTCGGGACAGCAAGGGATACTGACCACGCAGCCGGTGGCCCACCACCTCCAGGCCCCCAATCATCTTCAGGTCCAGGTGGTACACCAGCTGCGGCTCCTCTCCAGACAGCCGCTCCAGGGGCAGCCTCTGGAGGAGCTCAGAGAAGGCCTGGCCTGCACTGCTCGCTGCCTCCTTCCCCGGGACAGCTGCAAGAGGAAGAAGGGCTGACACACAGGGCCCCAGAGCTCCCGTATGGGGACCCCGGGAGGGGGGAGGGGAGGAGGGGTGCCCCGCTGCCCAGGCTCAGCCTCCCCCAGCTGAGCTCACCGCACAGGCAGGCGGGATCTCTCCCATCTTCAGGCACGGCCTCGTGGGGCTGCTTCGGAGTCCGTGGCGCCTCGCTGTTGATCCGTGTCACCTGAAGGGAAGGAGGAGCCCTGCTGCAAGGCCTCCCCAGGACCACTGCCTGATCAGCACAGACTGCCCACCCACCCCCGGCCGCCGGTAGCGAGGCACCGGCGGAGGTCCCAGGCTCTACCCACCAGCAGGACAGACTCCACCACAGCATCCAGGGACCCCAGCAGGCAGGCCTCCAGCTCCTGGCGGGAGG